GAATTTTGCGTTTTATTTATTTATGACCGGAAACTTTTCGGTCACAATGTACATCAGTTTTGAAATAAAAAGTTGAGGAAAGCAACGAAAGCTTTTGTGGACGAAAATAACTTGAAAGCACAATGAAAGTTCTTGAAAGCTCAAATTAATTAAAAATAGTGAGCTTAAATACTTTTCTTAAATCACAGACAAATAATATAATAAGCAGTTGATTTTCCTTGATTTCACATATACTACCTAAAAAAAATTAAAAAAAAAATTCACGTTCTTTATCAGATAGGGATCTATATTGTAGTTTAAGTAAAAAAGTTTTAATCACACTGAAAGTTTTCATTAAAAGCTTCAATTGAAAGCCGAGATAATTACCAAGAGAAACAATTTTTCGAAAACTTTGCAAAATAGCTTTAAAGCTTTTTTATAGAATGAGAAATAACTTTATTTTATACACCATCAGAACGAAAGTTCTTTAATGGAGTAAAATAAGCTTGAAAAAGTATGTTTCCATAGAGTTCTTTAGCTTTTTAAGTTTAAATTTCAGACGTTGTTTTTGGCCTAATACGAGTAGAAGAGGTAAATATAAGTAACGTCATGAAGTGCTTAATTGATAATCTCTTTGAAGAAAACGATAAGCATTTGATTATCAAGTAAAAGTTTATCAAGGTGAGTAAATCAGTTTGTTTGATAGAATTATAAAGACAAGTAAATGGAAAAATATTTTATCTTAAGTAAATCTTTGGCAAAAGAAAAATTTGTGGTACTGCGTTAAATAAACTTTAACTGTTGATTGAGCTCGTGTGCAATATGCATTAGTCTTGCTCTAAATAATGCACACTATATCTCTCGGTAGATGTTGTATAGTATTATTATTATAATAAATTGTTTTATAATTACATATGTATTTTGAAATAGTTTTCTTTAGCGAAGCGTTACCTTTTTTAGTGTTAAGTACTCTTCTCTTTTTTCGTCATGAAAATCCAATTTTTATCCAATGCACCACTATTATTAATTGGTTATATTTCATACGTTTTTTATAAAATCTAGCCAAATATAATCAAATCAAATCAAATCTTTAACTTAAATCTATTTAGATGGCTTTTATGAAACATTACATCGTTGTTAGATCGTTCGAGATGATTTTCGATAATTTATCAGCACTTAGCTGACAATAACATCACGATAACTTCGTTTTCAAGGCAGTTGGATTTGCGGAACTATCCACACAAATATGATCTTTTCATAACCTAACAAAAATAGTTTAGTGATTTACAATACTTAATTGTGAAAGAAAGGAAAATATTTCGGCTAGGAAATATTTCGCACAGCAAAGCGTTAACAGATATCTTATATGGCTTTTAGCTTGCAGCTTGCACTTTTTTGTTGAAATCGAATGGAAGATATATGAAGATCTTATATAAGATATAAGATATACTGCTATCTTAAAATTCTCATCCAAAAATATTGATATTCATGCGGCTGTAAAGATTAGAATTGTCAGTTTTTTCTGACGTACCTCCGGTGCCTAGCTTTCATCGTATACGGGAATTGTCATTAGGCAATACATCGTGAACCTGGGCTTATAACCATAAAAATGGTTATGAAACCGTTACAGTGACGAAGCTCTACCTAATAAATCACTGGAGGTTTGGACACATAAATAATGTAATCATTTTTAAAGATATATAAACTTATCACATATCCAGACCAACAGTCACTCTCTACTGGCATATTTCGCATGCAGTGGTCTTTCGATTGCCATTTATGGATTTTTACTGCTTCACTGTTCCAGATGTTACAATTTTTTTGCTAACATATCCATCAAACAAAAAATTAACCTCATCACTGAAGAAAATTCAATGCGTTGTTTAAGAACCCAATTAGTAAATGTTCTACGCATTATATGGTCAGCCGGGTTCTGTTCCTATGTTTGCTGAATTTTATAGGTATGGAGATACAAATCGAAATGTAAAATATATGGTAACGCAGCATAGGATAGATCCAAATGCCTAGAGCAATAAATAATAAATTTGCATATTCTTTCATACTTTCAACAGCAAATCATTAAGCTGGTGTATATTATATATATTTTGGGATTTAGAAATTGTGACTTCTTTAAATAAAATACTGTTAGTATTTCAGTCATAAAAACAACATTCTTAGCAAAACTATGATCAATCTCTTTGAACTGCAGTTAGAATAAAGTTGAATAATCGGCTGCTGCGTTTATCGGTGCGCATGAATTTGTAAATAAATGTAGTAATACTCTAAAGAGAGGTACAAGTTTTCACTTCTTCTGTATAAATATATATATATAGTTATATCTAATTCAGAACCCTTGGCGAAATACGAAAACAAACAACATCTGCAACAGTAGTTCTAGTATCGTAGTGGAATGTATGCATAAAACAAGGCATCAAAATCTGTTGAATATATTCTTCAAATTTTTTATTCTCATTAGCATTATGTGGTTTTTGGTTCCTATTCTGCTCAAAATGGTATTATTTGTTTTTCTCTTTTTTATTTTTGGTATTATTCATATTTTTACAAATGTAGAGAAGATGAAATGTTATTTACATTTATCTGAAGATCATTTCAATTATCTGTTGTGTACGCATTATCATCTTTCTATCTAAAGTTTCTTGCTGATAACCCCATTCACTGTTACACCTTCATTAAATAAGTTGACGTTTTGTTTGCTATTGTTTACTTTAAAGCATATATTTTAAAGTATGAGAAGGCAATCCAAATCTGAAAATTTTAAAAAACTAAAATTTGTTTTTAAATTTCATATTTTTTCTAAACCACTTGATCTGCTATTAAAGATGCGGAACTTATTTTAATACGATAGATTTAAATAGATTCAAATTATTAAGAACGTTTCATTATAGTACTAAAAACTTGTACTAAAACTATGTTATAATTTTCCGTTAATTGTTTGAATCTAAAAAAACCGGAATTTTCTATTTGTCTGAAATTTCTTTTAACCAATTGCATATTTTTTTAACATAAGTAAACGAGACTATAAAACTACATATAAAGCCAATAAATGCACTAAAACACTTATGACTAAGGTAATAAAACGAATTTTTAAAGTTTAGATACTACCCATATCTATAATTTAGATATACACTGTATCTGTCTACAGACTAGAGCATGTCACCGCTAGGTGGTATTGTTACATTTTATACCCATTTTTGGAACAATAAGTATACTGAAGTATACTGTCGCAATCTGATATTGAGATAACAAAAATAGTTGTATATAGTACATTGGAAACTTAAAGAAAAAATTGCATTTCCGATTTTTGCAAGCATTACTGATAAAAATAAACTATTCATAGGCTTTGCCTGTCAGTAGTATATTTTATGGTGAAGTAATAGTAAATCTCTGGGTAAAATCAACTAACCCATTAATGTAATAAAGTATTACATCACTTATACACCTCTTAATACATACAAACCTCTAAATTTTGTTGGACTAGTTTCTCGAGGAGAAACTCCATCAAAGAGTAAGTAATTACGTTAACTCACGTGCGGGAAATTTTTAAACCGATAATGATTCCAATTTCGTTAATTCTGATTGAAAAGATCAGATGATCAACTGAAGACATGGATGTCAAAGACATATTCTGTCTGCGTTGCGAAAGAAATTTTCGAGCCATGTTGTTTTACATTTTGGTAATGTGAAATAGACACCAAATTGGAGCGATTTACTTATACTGGATCGCAGTAATGCGGAAAATTGTTAAACATTTCACATTTAAAGTCCATTACTAAGCACTAGTAATGGTACAGCTATTGTCAACTATGATCCTAAGAATTATCAAAGACTAGCTCAAGAATATACAGTCCTGCAAGATATTTTAATGAAGATATTTATGGTGTCGTATTTCAAATTTAACAAAAAGGGTTCAAATAATACACTAATATCTAATGGTATAAGAACTTGATTATAATATAAATTGTAAATATGTTTTGGTTACATTAACCATCGGTAGTATGAAGTAAAGAGCCATGTAGTAGTTTCTAAATGGGCTTGAACATTAGTTTTCCGTCATACTGCGTCCTTTATATTGTAAGATACTATTGCGTCTTAATCGTATATTCACGTTATGGCTTAATGTATATATGATTTAGTTTTAAATAGAAACAATTTTTCTTTGTGTATTTACTTAAAGGAGTGTGTAAAAATTAATAATTTCCTATTATATTTTCTTTTTTTAATTTAATATTTTATTTTTTATTTTAATAGTTATTTTTTTTTAGTTTAACAATTTATTTTTTTTTCGTATAAAACATATTTCTTCTAAATGCTCAAAACTTTAAAATGGATCCGGCAAGAAAATAGCATTTGTGGTACATGCAACGTACTTGAAATATGGGAAACTCTAGAAGACCTGCATTTCTATCTGCGTCAAGAATGAAATTATCATTCCATATCACTAACAATTTGTCATTACACTAGTCATATATAAAAAGCGAAAATTGTTCACTAAAAACGATCTTACAAGGAGTTGGTGGAACTGATAAAAAAAATAAGTGAACGCAGTCGACTCCTTACTAGTTTCCATAATTGCAGTTTCCAAATATAACTTATGGAACTTAAACATGGATCTGACCTGCATTGCTAGCCGTGTTAATCTACGTATATATATATAATTTGTGTAATCTACATAATTTTCCTATGTGTTATATATGGTATATTCTTCTTTCTTCTCTTATTACTGTATACAAACTTTGGGATTTGATATGTTATCTGTTGGTAAAAAATATTTTGAAAAACATATTCATAAAAAAAAGTATATTTTATATATACACACATAAAATATTATAAAAATAATATCGCTTCTCTATGAATTTTTGAGTACCTCTTTCACCTTTTTTTCTATTTTCAAGAACGTACTTTAGGATTTTGTTTTAATTTGAATTTTTCTTTTTTAAAACTATAATTATATTATTTAGTATTAATAACAGATCGATTTATAATTATTAGATATGTCACGTATAAATCGATTTCCTTTGATTTGAATTTCTTTTTTTATAATTATAATAATATTGCCTAGTATTACTAAAATATATGTTTATAATAGTTGCATTCCCAATATAACATTATAATACAAGTGTTATACGATCATCGTTTTCAGTTAAATCTATAGTTTAAAACTGAGTTTGATGGATATTAGTGTGGGAGAGTTTCGATCAAATTTCTAATATTTTATGATATTGAGCACACTATCTCTCTCTCAAAACACTGTAAAATAAAGTTCGGTCGGAAAATGTATTCTATTCCAATGGACCTGCTGGAATGACATCCGAATACTGTACGTTTCAAGCTCTTCAGCAAGTTTTAATTGTTCTTCATTTATATTTTTCGGATAAGTTTACTTAAAAGAAATAAATATAGAGGATTTTGAAAAAATGTGTTCAAGTGTTTTCATACAAACTGAAGAATAGCTCTTGTTTTTCACCATATCAAACTTTTGTAATCATCATCAAACTTTCAGATAAGGGCCCATTGCATGGTGTTTGTATATATGTAATCTTCTGTTTTTGATTATAATCCGTTTTGCACATTTCACCACAGCTTCAGATATAACAAAATAACAATAACAATAAATGTGATGTATTACAAAGTATGTAATTATGTATATACTTATTCTGTTTCTTCTGTTCTTATGGAATACAAGATTGTTGCCGACTTTCTTATCAGAACAATCATTTATCCATTCGCATGGGTTTGTTGTTGTAAACGTGATGATAACTCTAATATTTCTTGCTCTCAGCGTACTCTTCTCATATGTAACCAGGCCTTTCATATATAATTTCTTCATTCGTGTCTTAGCAGAGATTTGGTGAAGTTGACGCGTCTTCAAATCAATTCTTTCAATTTTTGGTGTTCTGGTGTTGATAAAAGTTTTTTGAAGAAAATAATAAATTTTCTGACATTTTCGTTGAATGTTAAATTTTATTAAAAAATTTAAATGAAATTTTTTAAGTGAACTATATACCAAATAAAAAAAATACAATTGCATCTCTAATTAATTAAATTAAACCATACAAAAAGCAAATTTTTGCACTTTCTGAAAAGTGAAGAGTGTAGTATTTTGTTATATACATTGCACATTTTTTTATTTATCATTCATATAAAACTTATTTATAATATATAGTTTTTTTATATAATATTAACAAACAAAAAAAACCAAACAGACAGACATGCAGCCGGAAAAAAATCAGAAAAACACAGAAGACACGCCGTTCGTAATGTGAGTAAAAAAAAATTTTTAAAAATTTGAAATTTTTTAAATAAAAACAATAACAAAAAACACTTTAAAAAATATATTTACTTTATTAAATTACATATAGTTTACAAAAAATAAATATTGAATTGTTTACCAAAAGTTATTTAGTATACCTTTTTGAATTTTACTGAGAATATTTGATTGAATTTTTTTTATATTAGTTTTAAAGTATGTTTTATATTATATTTTATATACAAAAATTAAATAACTGAATAATTTATTAAAATAAACAAATTTGTGTCTCAAATTGCTTCAATTGTTCTAACAGTGTTATAGAGCTCGCTTTTAAGTGTACCTGTTAGCATTTGTGATATGTGGACTAAAAATAGGTTAAAAACCTTGCTTGTTTCATTCAAACAAAAAGTTCCCTAAAAATCCTTTTACCTTATTTATTCTATAATAACTTTAAAATCTAAATTCTTTGAATTACTTAAAATAAATTAATATTCCAATATATTTCTATTACGAAAGATATTTATAGTCTTACAAGACTATTATTAATATAACTCGATTAACAAGTTCATAGTAGCTTTGAATTATCGATTTCAATATTAATTTTCATTTTTGTAAAAGATACTTAGACTATAAAATATCTATCTGGCTGTGATACAAAAAAGTTGGAAGAAGTAGGGCCTAGGAAATTTTAATATTTTTAAGATTGAGCAATAACGAAATTAGTCCATTGTTCGTACTGAGGTTTTTGTGCTGCAAATGGCGAATTTTCAACATTTTTCTACCAGAATTAAGTTTCTCACCAATACGACTTTAAACTAAGTCCTACCAACACTACTTGTTACACTAGATGTAAATGGTACTGCATGCGCGTCATACTTTGGCCCCTAATGGTACTAAATAATGATGATAGATTCTCTTTCTTCAATTGGCCCGATAATCATTTTACTTGCTTAGTCATTATCGGAAGCACTTATTTTATTAATCCTTTTAGAAATCTGTTTGACACGAGTGTCGCACGTTGCCTTTACTTGCTCCAATTTTCACAGATATTTGATGTAGACATAGCCTATACACATAGATATAGCAATTTCTCCACGTAAAGAAATTGTGTCTTCCGTTCAATACTTAATGTAGAAGCTGCATAAACTGAGATGAGGAAGAGATAATCACACCATTTTTCGATGACGACACAGCTTAGACTAACTGGAAGCACATAGCGTGAGGAAGTACTCTGATGACAATAAGTGAAATTACTTATTAGAAACCACAGAAGATCTATTAAAACACATAAACCCAATTGAATTGATTTAGTTTATCTATAAGAGTTTCTTGCCAAGAATTTGGTACTAAAACAGCAAATAATTGCTAACTATGTGAGGCAACTAATTGTGGCTCAGTGTTCCCCTGGGGACTCAATGGAATGAAAATGAAGAAGCTGTGAGGCAAAACGATGTCTGCAGATCAGCCGCTGCAGCCAAACAATAATCTCAATGGGTTTGGTGGGTTGAAATTTTCAAACACCAATAATGGCGTCTTCGATTCGTTAGTCTGTATTCAATCTAAATTTATTCTCGAACTGTCAGATTACATTTTCAGAGTAATCTAACAGTGGGCAGTGGGCAGTTATATTTTTCATATATACAAATGTCGAATCAAACCACAGTTTACACGTCAAGTCATATAAAAAAGCTGTTAATTAGAGTGTAACCTTACTACACTGGCAAAATTTCTAGAGGGTTATAAATTAGCCTCGAGTGTTATATATTTCGCTCGAGACTTACCAGTGGAAGATAGAAAGAGCATTAAAACTGAAAATGCCATTTCGTTTGAAAAAATTCACCAGATTTAGCAATTGAAAATAGTATCAATAAGTGGTCAACTCTTTAGGATTAATACTATTTCACGGATTGTATTGAACAGTTTCTTTTTCTTTTTTTTTTGGTGGAAGCTTACTAGTTTTAGAGCTAGTAAATTCAGTTTAGTGTACAAAAAATCCGGAATAATTGAAAAAATATGAATAGGAAATTTAAAAGTTTTTTGCTAAAACTTCATTCGCTGATTTTAATTGTTCATAAATGATTTTTTTTAGACTACAAATGTTAGGTTTTAAAATTTTCAGAAATAAAATTTTTTATTTTTTATTATTAAAAACTGTTGACTATTTTTCAAGGAGTTGAACCTTTGGTACTTGCAGTTTAAAATAAATTATTTACAAATCATTAATTCACTACTGTTTAAAATACTTCAATATTGTTTATATGCATAAAATTTTAATATTTAAAGAAAGAAAGTCTTTGATGAAAGTGCTTTACTGTTGAACTTAAAACCAGCTCAGGTTCACTTTTTTTTATGAAAAGTCAAAGTAAATGAAATTATACAATTAAATTATAAGATAATTGCATTTTCTTGCAATGCTAATTGCAATAAAGATATTAAGTGAAACAACTGACAAATATTTATTTAAATATTAAACATATAAATTCTTTTCCTTATTGAATTTCATTGTTCGAAAGCACATCCATAAAATCATTTGATGCAATTCCAAAAAGGTCTTAAACCGTATCTCAAATAATACTTTTATTACCTTCAACACTTCCCAAAAATATGTGATAAGATTAAGATTGTCTATATACATAGATGACTTCAGCATGAACTTAGTGCTTTCGTGGGATAGAATTTCTCAACTAAAAGCAAATAATACTTATAAAAATTTACTTTCAAGTGAAATGAAATGCACAAATACTACAAGCGAGTATCTTTGAAGTTACTGCAAAATGTAATTATAACGTTTACATATGAGTAAATCTCAATCAAATTATATTACATCTAAAGACAATATTTTTTTTTATTTTTTTTTTTTTGATTTTTTAAAGTAAATTTTACAATGGCATAATGTATATTGCATATAAAAATTGTTTAAATTAGTTATTTTGTTATTTAAAATTAAACTTTTTGCTTCTTTACCGTGGCTGCCATCAACAATCACATCGATGGCTATGCAATCATCATTATCATTACCAACTCCGGTGCAGGATATTAAATGCAGCTTCATCAGTGCATTTATTGTTGCACGATAGTCAATTGCCATGACTGGCTTCAATTGAACTTTAGCTTTTCGAGGTTTGGCGTGTGTTTATAACAACGTAAATTTAAAATTACCGTCATAAATTCTCACTGATTAACGTGCGGAAAAATGACGCTGAAAATGCATCATCATTGAATATAATAAAAAGAAAATGAAAATGAAAATATATAAAATATGTATGTACGAGTATATATAATATTATAAATTATACATTCGATACTCGTATAATAGTGCTGATATATAAGTAAGAGCTGCTATTGACAGTTTCATACAAAAAAGTATATTAAGTAGTATGAGCAGCAAGTTTTGATGGAGCTGTGTTCAAAATTAATAGAGAGAAATGCGGTAACCGTCTTTTTGTTCAATGAAGAACCTTCAGCAAAAATCTATAGACACTCTCTACCTGGTTTATGTTATAAAAATTACATTGAAAAATTTGAAAGGTTAACTTTTTGAAACCTTATGCATCGCAATGAAATAAACAAGTAAGTAAAAAGCAAGTGAAAAGTTTAAGTTCGGATTTTCAGGAACTTCAATACCCTGCACACAAAGTTTTCAAAGACCTAAGAATAGGCAGCATATTGACTTTCAACTAAGCAGAGTGCTATTACTACGGCTGATCTCTTATGCTACAGACTCCACCTAACTGAACCTAACCCTAATCTGCTGAGGAATTCGTAACATCATGTGGGTGTACGAATGTATGAGCCAGAAGTAATTTTTTGGTCTAAATCAAAGCCGAATGATTAAAAACAATTATTATGTTGGGGCTATGTGAGTCAATGCACTTGAGCACTTTTACTCTCTATTAACTGCGAGGTTTCTTCATAACCCCTACCTACGCCTTGACTGAATTATTGTTTATCACTTCATCAGACTAAGCAATAATTGACCTCAGATCTGATTACCTCCCTTAGAAGGAGGACATAGAAGATCTTATAAACTTTCAAGTAAAGTTGCCACTCCGTTCTCTCAGAAAAACTTGTTAAGATATTAAGGAGGGCAATAGTACCCAGCCAAATAACTTCCCAACAGCTTCAGCTCTGTTTAGAATAAATTAGTACTTAAAGTTATTCGAAGAAAGGCAGATAATAGTGAACAGACACATTGTCAACAGTTTCAGCTCCATTTTAAATAAATTAATTCTTAAAGTTATTCAAAGAAAACATATAAATTAATGTCTCTATATTATTCGGACCATTAAAATGCTTGATATTGATGTTGGACTGAAATTCTGAGTTCTTTAGAGAGACATACGTCAACATCTTTATATTAGAATTATTCCGATAAAAAATAAGCTTGATAGTGATGTTTCAGTTGTTCAGTGAGCATAAACGATAAAATATTTAACATCAAGAAATTACTGTCTTATATTAAATATTAAAGTTTAAAGTATTTATGTATCCACATTTCTTTTAAAAACAAAGTTTTTTTTTACCATGTTACCGAAGAAGACTAAATACTTTTAACAGAACAAATATGCTTATCTAACTTAAAAAAAAATAATGTGAAATCAGAATAAATTTATTATCATCGGCACAACATTCGCTGTCCTATCTTGGTCTTTTTACACAAGTTCCTCGACCGATCCCAATTACAACTTGATCTTCATCCTCTCTCGTTACATTCGCGAGAGGATGATGTACTCTGATATACTCTTTGTATCAAGAATATATCGACACCTACCGCAGCTATACCATACCGGCGCAGTAATGTTATCGAGACCACTACTATAATCCAACAACATTCTTAGTGAACCTCCAATTGACATATGTGAAGATATAAAACGTCTCTCATGTGCAGCAAAAACTATTCTAGTTCAATTGAGATTCGATTAAAACCACGTTGTAAATAGTTACTTATCAGCCATAAGCGCGTCGATACCAATATATGCATGAACTGTAGCTCCATCTGCAGTTTGAATTCGCTCTACTTTTCACTTACCTCA